CTTTTTGGAAGGGGATTGTGAGATTGATGCCTGAACCTGCTGTCCAGGTTAAATACACACACCCTGTCAAACTCTTTGCATTTTCAGACCCACTCTCTTGGGCAGCGTTTCTTCAGTATCCACTTTGTGAAATCCCCCTCATTGTGAAGATTACATCAATCCTGGCTGCAATGACTGAAGGCCCCACTTTAGCCACATAGACCTGATGGTCAGCTGACCAAACACTGCCCCTACACCGAGCTGTCTGGTGTCACTGCCACCTTTAAATGTGAGACCTTGTCAACCTGTGTGTATAGGGATTTCTATAAACTCCCAGGGATTGAGTTAAGGGTAATACTGTTTAATGTTTCCTCCACTCACTGCTGTTTGCTCTGTCTGGATTACAATAAGGACTCTACCCTAATCTTTCAGTACTTTCTGGTCAGTCTGGCCTGCTGACCTCTTTCCCCTCTGCACATCTAACTGATCGCAATGTACCCTGGTTTTTGGAAAAGTCTGCAACCAAACAGACTGATCAAGACTCCAAAGACCAAGTCTGTTTCCTTCCTGGGGGCCATCAGCTTTTGATTTGTTTTCTTGGCAACTATAATTCCTCCTTGTTGTCCTTCAAACTCAGCTGCCATTGCATGTTCTGTAGCTTTGTTCTTTTCTGGAGCTGTTTTGGAACTGTTGAGCAACTGACCAGCTCCTGTTTCAGGTGCCCCTATGAGGGTGATGACTACCTGACCATCCTACACCCAGTAGATGCCTCTTCTGGCCTGCAGTTCCCAACCCATCACAAGCGGTTTGAAATGAAGACCTTTGTTTTCTTGGATGGAGTGTCTGAGCAGCCCCTCTCTGGACAGGTAACCAAACTGATGGAATTGAGACCAACCTCGTGAAATCCTCTTGCTGGTTGTCTTTTTTGACACCCTGGGGGTCCAGCTACAAAATGCTCACTCCAGTGTAAATTCTTTCCTAGGTTTACCTGCACTGCAGTGCTGAGGTTTGCTCTCCCTCTGCTCAGGATGACTGTATAACCAGATGTGGTCCAAGTGAGTTCCTTAATGCTTTCTATTGAACTGAAATCCTCCCCTCTGTCCCTGATCTTAAATGTCCCCTGTATCCAGTTGGCATGGTTACAGCATCCTGGCTATTGTCTCAACATGGTTTCTAATTATCTATGTAATGTTCCTCTTTCCCCCAAATAGGGTCACGCAGGAGTGCTCCCCTCCATGAGGGGACCTT